TAAAGATTGAATATATCATTTTTATCTATACACAGATCTTACAGAATGATAAAGCTCTGTCACTTTTTATTCTTATTTCTAGTTATGAATCTGCTATTATTTTTATAATATTCATAGAATTTAAATATTCTAGCTTTTAATATTATTGTATTATTATAAGTTCTATAATCTTTATATCATTTCTTTTAAATAATGTTAATATTGTGTTATCTTTCATCTGTAATATATTCACAGATTTAAAATTATTATTAAGTATAGTAAATCAGATTAAGTCTCTGTATATAATCAGTCTTTTCATCTCATAGATATTATTCTTATTTAATCTTACTGTAAATAAGAATATATGATTAGAAGATATAATTAATATAGTATAATTATTCTTATATATTAACTGCTTATAGATATAACTCTGATATATAAGCTTATTTATACTCATAAGATTCACTTCTAACTTCAGAATATAGTAGATATTATTTAACAGTATATCTATCTCTTTCACTGAAATCTTTATATCTTCTATAGCTGTAGCAGAGATTATTATTCTGTCTATTATTTTCAATATTACTTTCATCTTCTAAGATTTTATTATAATAAGATCTCTGTGAGATATGATATAAGTACTTAATTTAGAGTCTAGAATTCAGATATCTTTTTCTATCTAATTACTTATATAGATCTTTTCTTTGATATAAAATACTTACTTTATAATATTATAAATAGAAGCAGTATCTGTATTCTCTACATTCTTATCTTTATTCTTATTTCTATTTATATTAAAGTTTAAAGAACATTTCTCAGAGTATTTCTTTTAATAGTCAGTCTGAATATAATTAATCTTTTAATAATAATAACAGATTCTTATATTATTATCTCTACATTCAGATTTGAATTTAGTATTCTTATTCTTATTATTATCTTTGTTCTTATCTTTCTTATTCTTGTCTTAAGTATTATTCACAGGATTTTTCATGAATTCAGTACTACTATTTTTCACAGTAGAAAGATATAGAAGTATATTATAGTATAATCTTATAAAGTTTTCTTCTAAAAATCTTAAATTATTCTTATTAATCTAGTTCATTCTATTCTTTATAAAGAATACTTAATCTCTATTAACTTCTATCAGTAATCTATTAAAAAATATAACATCTTTAATTTTATATCTTAGATAGATATAATTAGTTCTGATAATAATTAATTATTTAATAAAAGCTCTATCAGATTCTTTACTTTTAAAGATTATTTTAATAAGCTCTTTAAATAAATAAGTTTTATATATAGTAGATCTCTTAGAAAAGTTATTCTCTATAATAGTTTATAGAGTATAAGCTGATAATTTAAACTTTTTAAGTATAGTAAAATAAGTCTTGATCTGTGAGATAATTACAGATTATATATAATTATATAATCAAAGATTATATTCTTTTCAGAAATATTATATATTTATAATAATATTCTTATCAAGATTATTATCTTTAAGAATATTATCAGTTTCAGACTATTTTATAGTTAAAAGAATTTTCTCTCTTTATATTAAGTAGTTAATAAATTCAGTGAGAACTATTAATTTTTTAATAAGTCTTACTTAGCTTCTGAATTCTTTAAAAACTTTTATTATAATAGATATCTTCTCTTTTTATTGAAGATATTCTATTAGATCTGTTCTTATCTTATTATTTACAGAGTTATCTCTACTAATCTTCATTCACTTAATCTCATACTGAAGTCTTGTAATTTTAAGTCTTATATAAGTCTTCTCACTTACTGAGCTATTATTATTTCAGTTACTTAAGTCTTCTATATTATCTAATATCTCATTAATATCTTTAACTGAGTTTTTATATATATTGAACTTATCAGACTATTCTTTTATAATAATTTCATTTAGCTTAAATATCTCTGAAGTCATCTTCTGATTTATTATTAATATTAACAGTGATCTGTGATCTTGTATTTACTACTCTGACATTTTCTCATTTCTTCATCTTGAAGATATATATTCTCTTATTAAGTCAGACATTTCTCTGAATCTTAGATTAATCATGAGTTCAATTAATTAATAAAAAACATCTAGACACATGTAATGATATGTGAAGATGTAGTTAGCACATTATTACAGTTATTCATTGCTTGCAAAAGAGCTTCATAACCTCTTGAAGGATAACATTGTTGTGTTATGTTGTAATCTAACTACGCGAGTTACACTAAATGGATAGGTTGGGGTGGCACGTGACTAGGGTAGGTGTAGTAATCACCAACAGTTACATCATAACTAGTTAACTAGTTATGTAAAGAATATATTTTTTCTGTGGTTATAATCATGGTCACCACGGGCTAATAATCTTGTTAATCACTATTATTATTTGTCGGAAGCCAATATCCTCTCCAAGCTTAAACAACCCCGGGCCATGTTTACCAATTTTTTATGAGTGAAAGACCACTGTTACAACAAAGCTTGTTTGGCCCGCCATTCTTTACAAGCGCACACGCGATGGCCCCCTGTCCAGCGCCGTCTTGTTGTCCGGTTTCTGGTAGCTGTAAGACGGGCTGGGCACAGTCCAAGCAAGCACTGACCATGGTAACAGCGCGTGCTGAATTTGTTTTTCCTGGGCCCTGCCGACAGTGCCTGGGCTTTTCGAAAAAAGTTGGCAGCGATATGCGAGTGCTAACTGGGCTTGGGAGGGGGGGGTTAATAGTCCGGCTCGTCCTTTTTTTGCTTCTCTCTTCCCGTGAAACACGAGGTTCACTCGCAAAGAGAAACTGCAAAATGTGTGAACAATCGAGGTTGGGCATTTTGCACAGCAGGGGGCACTCCATGAAACAGGGCATCGCAGGCCTTTCTCTCTGAATGATGAAGCCAGGGGGAGAACGATGGTTCGATGAGTTGCGCAAAAATAAAGCCGCCTAGCAAGGGTCAGGGGTCAGGAAGGATGTTTTGCATAAATAATTGGGGTTGGCGCCGATATCTGTCTCTCAAAACCCCTGTCCGAGCGAAATTGGTAGTTTCTGCCGCGCTTTGCCCCGTCCACAAGGCAGGGGAGAGAAGATGTGAGTAATTACAGCCGCCGTTCGGTTTTGCGATGCCTGGGTCATAAAAACAGATGCTGCCAATCATGGTGTGTACGCTGGTACCCAACGATGGGCCACCATAAGCGTACAAAAAGTTGCTAGACTTCTTGCTTCTTCTACTAACTATCTCTATCTCTCTACCGATTCGTTCGTTTTCCTTTTCAATTTTGAAGCCACCAGTCATTCCTTACGTTAATGTCGCAGAGGCGAACATCTTCCTTAACTACGGAGTACATTAATTACATATACTTGCAGCTTCCAGATGGTAGACAGACAGACGCAAAGCCGTCAGACCTTCAGGCTACTTACAACTCCTCCCTGAGTGAGTACATATTTTACCGCGCCTCGTGACGCGTAATGCACAAAACGCATAACCCCTCCTCTCTCTCTCTCAAAAAAAAAAAAAAAAAAAAAAAAAAAAAGGCACTCTGTAGGGCACTGGGGTAAACGAGCTCAATCACCACTAGCATATACTTAAGAGGCTGAACCATTCCATTCAACACACTCGCTTTTTCAGCAGAATGATCCATGCTCCTCCTTAATCCTTTTCCACCTCCTTAGGCCATGCCATGCCTTCCCACCTTTTCATCCAGCCCCTTGACCAACACTGATATATTGAACCCAAGCCGACCCTCCGTGCTTAGAATAGTGATAAGGAGGAGAAGAGCCCCTAGCTGATCATTTGGACTTCCTAAAGAGTGATTTAGAGAATGAGGAGGAATCTTAGCCAGGAATCTGTTAAGGCTGGCTGTTGCAGCTAAAATTTTCGGGTGGCTGGGACCGAGTTTTTGGCGTCGAAGCTGAACACACTTTTGAAGAAGCTATAGGGACCTCTACATGTTGGCCCTGCTTCCTCAAAGTGCGTGAGAGATTCTGCATACCTTCCAGTGTGTTGGGATGATCAACTCCCAGCACCCTCTCTCTGATTGTCAGTGCCTGTCGATGCATGGCCTCAGCCACATCATATTTCCCTTGACTATAAAGCACCAAGCCCAGACTGTTGATGCTTGCCAGTGTTTTAAGGATGATTGACCCCCAGCACTTTCTTACCGATTGTCAGTGTCTGTCGATGCATCGCGTCAGCCTCATTGACCCTCCCTTGACGACAGTGAAACACCACACCAACAATATCCATAAAGTTGAGTGTCTTCTTGTTTTCTGGGCTGAGTGCTTTCAATGTCTCCATCGCCTGAACTCCCATTTCCACTGCCTCTATCAAGTTGCCTTGCGAAACGGCAAACTATTCTGCATGGCCCAGCAAAAGTGCCCACTCTCGTTTTGAATCTTCTGCGTCTGGCTGTTGTCATATTGCTACCTGTGCATGTGGGAAAAGCTATTGACACTTTTCCCAGTTCTCATGTCCTTCTGGGGGAAATTCCCTAGAGAGATTCCTAATGAACTGCTGCTTCCACTGTTTGAGCTGTCATGACAACCTTGAGCCATTTCTGCATGGTGAGCTGCACTAGCCTATGCATCTCAAAGCTCGCTCCAGCCGCATTGACAGAGATGAACAAGTGGTTCCTTAATGCAATGATATCATCCTCAACGTATTCTTCACATCATCATGGCTTGTACTTCCCCTTGAACCGGCCATATTCTTGAATTGGTTGTCATCCTCCAGGCTTCCCTCCAGGTTCTCATTGCTATTTCCACTCTTGCTTTGATCCCGGGGCAGGTATTCAACTATTTTCTTGTCAGTCAAAGAAGCTCATTAGTGATAAGAGCTCCGCGGCACTAAGCCATGTTTGTCATATATAATCAAATGATATTAACCAAGTACTGATGATTGAATTTTTCGCCTCCCAGTCTCAACAGAGGCGTCCTTATTCATGATCAAGAAGACTCAACTTTATGTCATCATCCTCTTGAAACTTTTCAAGGTGCCGCTTCACCGAAAAACGTGGCGCCCTTTGATTGATATAGGCGGCTGCTTATACAATAGCAAGTGGTATAAGCTCAAGTTCTATCACAAGCTCTCTAATGTCTCCGCTATCTACTACAGGTCCCAGTTTCGTCCTCAAGAGTTTCAGCGCTTGCGAATCATCCCTCGGCTCGACATTGATAATATTCTGGTCTTCTGTGTTCTTCCCAGCATGCCTTGGTCCCTCGTTGTCATGATAATAGAAACTGTGTGGAGTCGGAGGGAGATATTCCATGAGAGGCTTTCTGCTGATCTGGCTTTCCAGCTGATCTTGACCTGTGTGTGGAGCTTCATGGAGGAAACTGCCATCATTCAAATTATCAAATACAATGATCTGTTTCCTTTTTTCCTCATCCTGTAACCAGTCATAAAAGGGTTCGAAGATGTTTATCTTGGGGCTCTTTCGATTCCGGATTTTGGCGCGATCGGCGATTTCCCGATAGCTCTGCTTGAAACAGGCTGTGTTGCTGGTATGGATCCAGAAGACCCATGTCTCAGGAGGTGATTGATCTCTGACCCGGTAACAGTATTGAATGAAGAGTTGTGACTTTCTTTTGACCTGTTAGCAGTGGACAAGCTGTCAGAGAGATAACAACCCACTCAACACTACTCAAACCAACCAGTGCTATTATTGATGCTGGTCGGGAGCACTTCTCCTGCATCTGATCGAGCACTGTCCCGCGATCGATAAACCCTGGGTCGCGGCGAAATGGGACGGTGGATAAGGGGCTTGGTGGGGTTTTGGGCTGCCCTAGGAACGGGGCAACCATCGGTCAGCATTGGCAAGCCTGGGCCGCAGTCACAGCACTTGCTTACCTGGAGGAAGGAAATAATTGGCAGCCGCTGGTCTATTGTTGATCCCAACTGGAAGCCCGGCGTTTGCATCGAGCGAAGGATATTACAGAAGTCATGGCAACACTGCTATTCTTTCTAATTCTGCTGTTAGGGCTCAACATAGAAGTAGAGTCAATTTTGAAAATGTTCCCATTGAGCGGGGTTAAAACTTGACGTCCTATGAGTCTGCAATTGATTGGCGTTTCTTCCCTGCCTCATGCGCCCATGGCCCTGCAAAATCTTCATTTCAATCACCAATCTTCCACTGCTCTGCATCAGGCTGAGTAGCTTTTACATACCAATTTGGAATGCTTTCGATCCTTCAATCATCACAAACTAAAATGGCGGATCCTCTAACTTTTACAGCAAGCATCTCTGCTGTCCTGTCACTGTTCCTGCCTTACATGCCATCCGGCTTCTTCTGGATGACCCGCAAAGCATCAAGGAAGTTGCTGGATGAGCTACGAGTGAAAGTCCAGGAGGACGCCCTTGTGAAAGGCGTAGCGGAGAAGCAGAGCCGTTCAACCCATGGGGTATTTATTTGGCAATCAAAATTCTGGCTTCCGGATTGGTGTCAGTAACGGGCCGGCCCCATCAGTGGGATTAGCTTTGGAGCAAAATGAGCCCTGGCCCTAATCCGCACGGTGGTCCAGGGCAAGGCATCAGAGTGTAAACATCCGGCCAGACTGAAGTATCTTCCTCAATGGTGATCCGTTCTCCTCTTTCAGCAAGCATCCGCTGAGTCACGCACGGATGAAGCACTTCTTTTATCCGAGTTTGTTCATGTGCCTGAGTTTTTTACCCACACGAAACAGGCCCTCCCATGTAATGAGCTACTTCTCCACAGAATGCCAGCCAATATCAGTATTATCAAACCGCCGGGTAAAGTCCCGCTGGGAACGCCCGTTTACTGATACCACCATGGCTGTGTCGTCCAATTCAACCCGCCGCTTGCGCGGGAATTTCTAGCAGAAAAGCTTTTCCAACTTGAGCTGCAGAAATAGCCGCAAATAAGAGCATCACTGTTTGCCTGGTTTGCATAAAATGCTCGAGCCACTCCTCTAACCTGACGCCTCATCTTATCCACACCCACCTCGACTTCAACGGAGTGGAGTGGTCTACCCTACCACTGCAAAACTTCGGGGGAGAATAGTACGAACTAAACAATGTACTATCCATGGGCGGGGAATCTACGCACAGTATGCAAAACGTGCTATGTAAAACATAATTATAATTTGCAGTAGAATGAAATTAGCAAGCTGGCTTGTGGAAAAACACCCCCGATTTATTATCAAGCCGCGTATCATACTGTCTGGTTCCCGATATGTTATTTATGTTGGCGGAAGGTGTACTCCGTATGCATGTATACTGTTCGGGGCGAACCAAATGAGTTCAGCGAGCAATATCGGCTGCGCAGTCGCATCGACCTTCATATTTCCATCTAACGACGGTCCTTGGAGGCATCCTGCTTCCAAAGATGATAATTGGATGGTCCAGAGGCAGGTTTTGTAGTTATGTATCTTAGCTTACATACCTAGGTAGGTTGTTCTCGGGGAAAGTTTACCGCCTCAGCCGCGCGGAAATTGGAGTGAGGTGGGGGGGTGGCTTTCAAGCCTTTCCAACATTGTATGTATGTCATTGTCAACGGATAAAAGAGCCGTCATAGATTTCTTTGACAGCCAGGGGGTTGGAAGTCTATTTGTTCCCGGCCCGGGAAGGTTTGTGCACTCGGGTTGGTCTGGCATGTTTTCTTCTGTAGTGCTCTTAAAGATTGCTTTTCGCTCGTCTTGGAACCATTTTTGAACGATGTTACAGGGTAGTTAGTAGTGCGGAAGAGAAATCAATGTATCATTTATAGATGATCCAGCACCTCGGTTCAGGAACTAAGGGGCAGATGTATAACCAACCACCTTACCTACTTAGGTTCTGTAGCTAGGCAAGTTTGTCGAGAAGACCCATGATGGATAATATGGGCCTAGAGAAGTTGTACATGTACATGTACATTACAACTTCTCATGTTGCGTGATATTGTGAATTTGTGATAGTTACCCGTCCCAAGGCTCCTCATCGCCTCGCTTCGACACGGATTCAGAACGGAGAAGTCTGTACAGAAACATACTTAGTGAATACCAGTACCAAGATATTTCCTTGAAGAGCCACGTCTGGAATAAAGACTTATCCGAATTGGAAAATATGATCTATCATATTTCTTGCTCGTCGCTCGAGATTGATTGGTTCACCATTTGACCGGGCACACAAGCGCTCGGAGAGAATATCCATGAGCTCTAATTTGTGCTTCCTTGGATAACACCTGTCACGTCATGTCACGTCTTCGTATTTATAGCTTTCTGTCAATACGTGGTAATTTTATTCGGCGCTGTGTTACAATATACATAGTACCTCCTAGCCAAGCCATGTCTCCGTGGTTGCGGAGGCTTCCGTTTTTATCTTCTTTTGCTGCTAGTCTGGAAGGCTGGGACATCGCTATCGCATCATGGTGGCGAATGTGTTGCGCATTGGGTTTTCCAACGATGGCTGCCACCAGCGCCTTGGATGGTGAAAGCCTGGACCCTTGCAGGCGGGATTTTATTGTATTTTCAGTAGCACGATCGGTTGCCTTGAAAGTCTTTACGTACACCCTCAAGCTTGGGTTCAAAAGGCCCAAAGGGAGTTGTATTGGCTGGGTGTCCGCCTTTCAGACTGTGTTGGTTTGGGGCGCCACGTTAATGAGCACAATTTCGCCCATAATTTACCAGTTAGAAAGCCAGGGTTGAGTTTTGACTGCTGTAACTATACAGCGGTGTCCGAGAAGGGCAAACTTTGGCACGTTGAACGGCTAGTCATTGGTGTGTTCAATTTTGTCGCATGTCCATGGACCTTCACATGCCAAAATATATAGGGAGGAAACTAGCATCATGAATCCCAGCGTCGTGTGTGCTTTCGCGTGCCGGAGCCTTTTTTTTTTTTTTGTTTGTATCCAAAATTATATCAAGCAGGCTCAGCAACCCTGCGTAGGTGCCGCCTGGACAAGGCTACTACTGGGAAGGGTCATCCACACAATACGAACATCGACTGGGGTGTTGACTCTTTAGGGATTTCGGTGATGGTCTGCCGCGATCGCCCCGGTAGAAGGAGGGGGAGACTTCAAGTTTGCCCAAGACCAGATTTCGCCAAGGCTAACCTGCAGGCTGCAAGCAGAGAGGAAAGGGTCCAGCTAACCGAGAATCCCTTGGTGTAGATGTCCTTGGAAGGTTGCTATTCGTTGGATAGCCATGAAATCCAAATCTTGGCGCCGGGAAGCCCGGTTTTCTTGTCTCGGTTAGTGCGATCGTTACACTGCGCTGCGCCTCCTCTTTGCTGGAAATAGATCATCCGCCACGGTGCAAGCTGACGAGTGAAATGGGAAGAACTGGGAAGGCAGGCTGCCATAGGATAGAATATTCGATGTCACGCCTCTAACGGGAAGATACAATTCCATAACAGACAGGAAGAAGAATGTCGATCTCTCTTTGGAATATCTTATCCCATGCTGTTGGCTAGGATAACCACGGGCGGGGGAGCGGTGTTATTTACTTACTTCCGATACATATGGAACTAATAGTCCACATGGATGTTAATATATTTCATCAAATCAGATCTAGTGGAATTTTGATGCCAGAAACAACGCTATCCCTCATGAGGACATGCCAAGATATCCCCGCGCAAGACTGGCTTATGTCATCCGTCAACCGCACCGTTGCTCGGCAACCGCAGCTTGGCGTTTTTTGTTGACAACATGGCGGCATCATGCAACAGCCCCGCCGCCGTTGAAATGACAGATATCGCAATTCTTCAGTCTCACAAGCGCCGGAGGCGATTGGAGAATGCAACTGAGTCTCCACCTTGCCCTTGATTTTCCTCTTCTGAACTGACCATTCCAAGTGAAAGAGGGGTTCATCTTTTCGCTCAACCTCAAAGCCGCTGCTAACTAGAGTGTGTGAGCCGACGTTTTATATATGTTGAACATGCGATAGTACCATGGTTATCGAGAGAGTTGAGGGATTTATACCTGTAGAGTTTGACCTCTTCAAAGTTCTCAGATGCATGAGCCTGACCAACTTACTCGATCCAATGTGTCTGTGTTGGATATCGCAAACGTCTCCATAGGCTGCCAAGTCACCTCCTGCAACCGATTGGGAGTGGGGAATGAATATGCTGAAAACATCTTTGTTCGGCCTCGCTGGCAATGTGCTGGCTCTTTTGGCCGGAGAAGTAGTCGCCAAACTACCCTACAACCCTTCATATATCAGCAACCCGATTTCAAGAAACCAGACGGAGGTATATATCCTTTCTCCAAAAAGCTCGGCGACGTCGAAGAATGAGTTCAAGCTTCAGTCTCTGGACATTTCAACTCCTTTCGATATCTCTCAGATTTCAATATCGGAAGATTTGGGCGACGTGCCTTTTGCTACGGATGATAGCGCAAAATCCTTTATCCCCACTACCGACTCGCAAGGTATCCTAACAGTTTATACTGGGGACTGTCACGAAAATACCTCTACGGTTTGGCGATTATTTCCCACCGATGGGGAGTCTACCGGACCTTCCAAATGGAAGGAGACACCAGTTCACTCCGAAGACGGCCAACAAGTCCCCGGAGCCGCATACTTATCGTCAGCAGTTTCCTATCCTTCAGTAGCGGAATCGTCACAACCAGGTCTCTTTGTTTTTGGAGGAATGTGTCCCTGGGTGGGCAAGCAAGGTGAAGATTGGGTCTCTGCTGCCAACTATTCCCAAATTATGATGTCTCTCACTGCAGAAATGTCATCATCGGGCCCCTCTTATCAAGCTGAAATCGTTACGCCGGAATCCTCTCCAGTTGCTGAGGCAGGGTTTGCTATGACACCTCTCGTGCCAGCTTATTCAAATACCTCCAGTGTTAAACCGATTCAATATCAAAGTTTCGTTCTGACTGGGGGGCATACTCAACAAGCGTTTATCAATATGTCCCGGATTGCGCTATTTTCCCTCCCAGATGCTTCGTGGAGTTATATTTTAGTCAACGAGGATGGCGCAACTTCATCTATACCAGGCTTGGGGGATATCGACGGGGTGGAGCCGAGGTCTGGCCATACAGCGTTATTGACACCGGACGGTAGCAAAATTATTGTCTTCGGGGGTTGGGTCGGTGATATTAGCCGCCCAGCCCAGCCTCAACTTGCTATTCTTGAGGTGGGAGCGGCATATGGAGGAGCTGGAGACTGGAAATGGACTATACCTCATCAGAACCTGCATGGCCCAAAGACTGGTACCGGAATTTTTGGTCATGGCGCAGCAATGCTTCCTGGTGGTATAATGCTTGTAGCTGGAGGGTATTCTATTCCTCAGTCAGATCTGAAACGATCAGCCACTGGCCTTGCTACCAATACCGAATGGTATCTCTTAAACACTTCTTCAGAGACTTGGATTACTTCTTACACTCCGATAAACAACATCGAAGCTAGCGGCCAAGTCAGCCACGGACCACTTTCATCAACCTCACAAAAAGCTGGTCTTGGAGTTGGAGTCGGAATTGGGTTTGTAGTTATCGCTGTGATAGCATTTTTTGTCTACCGCCATTGCTCTCGTCGTTCCCGGGAACATCAGAGAGTACGAGAGCAGGCTCTCCGGAGACTTGCTCTAGGGGCAGAACGTCCACACTTTGACCTAGCGGGAAACATTCACGAGCCGATGACCGACATCACTGCTGAAAAATTGGCGCTTCATCCCAATGCGTACTCATGGATCGGCAACGAAAGATACCCTAGGAACAATGGCTCTCAAGATACTGGTACCTTGTCTGCCGAGAAAACAGGGCTTCTGGTGGAAATACCGAGCCCCACAAGAGGGCTTCGACGGAGTATGCATTCCAGAGGATATCAGTCTGCTTCATACTTGGAGGATTCGAGAAGAAACGTAGGATTTAGTGCTATACATCCGATCGACGAGGGAGACGAATGTGAAGAAGCCATCGGCAACGATGCAATGATGGTTGGGAAAGGGGAAACTCAGCGACAGAGCCGGAGCTCTGTCATCTCCAATCCTTTTAGTGATTCAGCGCGCTATAGCGATTCTCATAATACCAGGTCTGCTCGCATATCAGCGTTGAATGAAAAATCAGCCGCGATCGAATGGGCGGATGATTTCGAGGCAGGCGGTACTGCTACCAGAGCCCTCTCACCAGATAAAAGCGATCGTACGCTATCTGACTTATCTGAAGGTTCCAGCTCTTTCATGTCGGTCTCCTCGCAACCCACAAATCCTCTGTCTTTGAACAGGAATCTAGCTCGAATGTTCAGTTTTCGCTCTCAAGCGAGCGGACCTGTAGCTCCGGGTGGTTCTGCCGATTACGAGCCTGTCCGTAGTTCGTCCCCCGAAGGACAGGCCCACGGCCAATTTCATGCACTATCTACCAATGTTGGCAGCAGCTACGATTCATACAACGAGTTAAGGGCTGAGACAGCGCGATCCTCAGACAGAACTGTTGTACCCCAAGGCTCTCCGCGTCATACTACTTTCGGCCAACTACAAGAAGAAAGCGGATTGCTGCTTGGCATTACGCCATTGGACTCATCAAAGAGCGGGCTAAACATCACGAAGAGCAAAGCCCGCGGGTGGATTGGTAATGTTCGTCGTACTCTCGGCTCTGTCAAGAAAGCTGAGAACATCGCACAGGCATATTCCGTGAGCCCGGAAAACATGTCGTCAAGCTCTCAACAGATACAACAGCAGCAGCAGCAGCAACGAAGCACAAGTACGAGTCCCACAAAAAGCTTCTATAGTCTTCAGGAGGAAAGAGACTCAACAACGGCCTCCGAGTCAAATAACATTCCCAGGCGAGCAATGAGCTCAAGCTCATCTATGCTGGGGCGCAAGCAAGGTGCGAAGGACTGGGGTGCAAAGAGATCCTCTGCCGACAGCGCACAGATACGAATGCTGCAAGCAGCCCGCGTTGCTGATGCTGGTCATAGCAATGGAGCAGCGTCATCGGAGGGTGGTACGGGTGGGAGTTTAAGTAGCGACTCACCCCATTTCTTCGACTATGATGACGATGAGGAGTGGGATGTGGAAGCCGCCGCAGAAGGCCGGGTAGTACAAATCACCTATACAGTGCCCAAGGAAAGACTTCGAGTTGTCAACCCTGGCCCGAGCAGTGGAGACGATGTGGACGATGATTCTATTACGTCGCCTGAAAGTACTGAGCCAAAAAAAGGGAGTTCCGGCGATGGTGGTAGGGAAGGGGTCCAGAATCAACCAGGGCCATCGAATTCTGGTCAGTGATCTTGATTTTGGTTGATTTCGAGGGGGTCTTTGAGGGGAGGGTGATTGTTCCTGTACTTTCGGTTTCTCGAGTTATTTTTTCGCTATCGGTGGAACGAATTTTTGTATTTTTTTTCAACTTGGTCCGTGACGAGGTATTACGAAAGTCATTTCCTGACGTATATGGTGGGTGGAATGATGTTTATGGTACCATTGAGCGGGCATATGGCCTTGTGGCGTGATTTGGATTTCTGTTTCATTTAGTCTACAGAAACGAGTCTTGTTTTCTCATCATACGTTCGCTTCTTGCCATGTATAGTTAAGCCTGACATTTATGATTGTCCTTTTTCATTCTATAGTACTCTATATAGTCTCTCTGCAAAGGTGCTTCAATAATACAAATGTACCAACATATTGTTATAAATTTCTCCACCCTTTTCAAACCGTTGTAATATACATCACATCCACACTTCTGAAGATGTAACCAAATACTCAGAATTCCGCGCGCATGCACTGACAGCTTGCTGGCCAACAAAACGGTGTTACCAAGCCTACATACACGCATGTACGAAGTAAATGTACATGTACATGCAATTGTATCAGTGTCCAAGCTTGCTCGCAAGCCAGTTGGACACGTTCTGAATAACTTCCTGAGAATCAAACGCGCCGGAGCCGGCGAGGAGACTCGCCCAATCGGAAATCTCATGCAGGTTCCTATTCGCGAGAACTTGGTGGATCTTCTCGGATTGGATGTCGGCCTGTTTGGTATTTGCTGAGGTGGATATTTGGCTTGAGATTATCGCACCTGATTTCACTCGCAGGAAGACACGTGTCTGTGCAGGTGTGGGGGTATGCATGTTAGTAAGGAGGCTGTGGCTTTTTTCTTTTTGTTTTGTCTTGTTTACAAGGAGGTGATAAGGCGGTCATGGGTAAGTTTGGGGTTTTGGCTGGTACTCACTGAGGAAGGGAGGTTGGATGGAAGGGGAGGTCTAGGTCTGGGGTCATCTTCGGTGGGATGGGTTGAAAAGGTAAATTGCGGAGACTGGCAGTATTTCCATTCCAAAGACTAAACAGAGAAGTTAATTTGGGGTGACCAATTCATTTTGCGGAAGAGTCGTGGGTTTACAGACATGAAGTTCCTGGATGCCTTTAACTATTTCGGGCTCGTCGAGTGCATTGATGTCAGCAAGTCCACCGACGGCCCAGTTATGCCCCATGTGCACCTCTGGATCAAATGCGTGAGCGCGCTGGGCCTTTAGAACAGCATCTGGATGCATGCCGTACAATTGGGCAAATTCTTCCAAAATGTTGAAAATCACCCGGTCCATTAGAAACGCCGAATCGACCGCACTGGAAACGTTTCCTACTGGAGACCTAACGCTTTCGACACCTTTAGCCTTTAGGTAAGGTCGAGCTGGCGATCGTAGAAACAAGCTTATATTTCCAAGGTTGGGGGAGTCAATCAAGCAAGTGCCGTGATGTAGAGCTCGAAACCGGGTCAATTTGTAGGCGGAACCCGAGATTTTGAGGGCGTGAGGCGTATTCTCGATTCGAGGGCTTGGGGCATCTTCCGTTCCAACTTTGATAACTTCCCTAGACGGCTCTTTCGAATCCTGCCTCAGAACAATATCATGCCGTTCATTGACCGCTGTATTGACTGCGCCAACGCGCTGGAGGGCCCTGACCACCATCTCGGCGTGCTTGTCTCGATGGAATACGGGCTTAGGGCAGATGACGCAGTAATTCAGATTGCCTTTGTCATGGAATACAGCGCCACCTCCGGATCTCCGCCGCACAAACGGTGCATTGTTGATGGATCCACCAGCAATGCTCCGCGTCTCACGATCCAGTGCTTGAAGATTGATTTCAAGCCATGGGTTCTGATTCCGGCCAATGACGACGCAAGGCCGATTTATGTACAGGAATAGTATATTCGAGTCTTGAGGAGTGTGTTCCAGTAGAAAATTCTCAATTGAGAGGTTCACGAAAGGGTCATTGGAGAGAGATCGGTAGATTTGATGTTGACTGGATTCCCTGCTCGCTGCTTCTGTGAGACTCGAGGAGTATTTTCGGCTGATGGAAAAGGCCCTTCGTCGGAATCTATATAGCCATGGCAGATTCGCAGATGACGTCCATTGCAGAGGGCGCAATGGAAGCATTGATGGGCGGCAGGCTCATAATAGTAAGGGAGTTGTTTCTTGGATACAAAATCCCTTGCTGCGGTTCTGCTTTCCGTGGTTGATAGTAGGCATCTGGGACTAGACCGGAATAGGAAATGTGGCCTTACTCTGGGCTGAGTCATCCATATAACTTATTCCAATGAGCAACTTGTTAATCGGGGGGATTTATTTTTTGGGATCACCTGCCTGTCTGTATGGTTCTTGTTGCCTCTCTAGAGTCGCAGGATATATTCGAAAATATAACCTGCAACCGTGGTCTTATTTAATTTGATCGGTTGAGTGAAGATCAATTAGAAGTTTGCCAGCGCAAAAAGGCTGTACCGCTACATCTTTCAGTGCCCCTCCTTCATTTTAGGAGCCACGCGCCCGCAATGTCTACATTCGGGGAATATTTCAGAGTGACCACGTAAGCATTCGCTTCTTATTTCACCTGTACTCTTTGTCTAAGGATATTTTCTAGCTATGGCGAGTCCCATTGCCGGTCCGTTGGCTGCATTGTGGATGGCTGCCCTCCGGGAATGGCCCTCACCGAGGACGACATTCAACCACAAATGACACGTAGACGGCCTGGTCAAAGTGCTCTCACCACGCCCCGGAACGAAAAGGATAGGGTTGAGATACAATCTGGGACGGAATTTGGCATCACTCTGGGTACGCCAATCGGCATGGTTGTGCGGAATGAGGATCAGAGACCTAAGGACTACGGTGGAAGCACAATGGATCTCTATCCTCGTCCAAGCCATGCAGATTTTACGTATCTGGAGAAATACGGTGTCAAAGCGAGTAGTGGCGGTGGTAGAAGTAGCGCTCGTGAAACTATAGGTGTGTTTGAACGGAGGCTTTGTTCTTTTCATACCATTTTTGAAGCAAGCTTCAGCGCCTAGGATTGCCGCCGTTACTGATGAATCACCAATTACCAGGTCGTGTTGCGGCTGGAGCTATTGCGGAAAAGTATCTTAAGCTATCGCACAACATTGAGATTGTTTCTTTTGTTTCATCCGTGGGGAACGAACACCTCTTTCCCCCGACTGTGGGACACCCTAACCCTACAACAAACCCTGACTTCTTAAAACTGATCGCGACCATCGATCGGCCAACTGTCGACTCTTTTGCTCCCATCAGGTGTCCTGAAACAGCCGCAGCGGCGCGCATGACCAAGGTCATCGAACACTTCCGGGATCATAACGATAGCATAGGCGGAACCGTTACCTGTGTTATCAGAAATGTTCCCGTCGGCCTTGGAGAGCCATGCTTCGATAAACTCGAAGCCAAACTGGCCCACGCGATGCTCTCTATCCCAGCAACAAAGGGCTTCGAGATCGGGTCCGGATTCCTCGGTTGTGAAATTCCAGGCTCCATCCATAATGACCCATTCATCACTACCGATGACCAGAACAGCCAGACCCCCGGTTCAAAGCGACTAACCACCAAAACTAACAATTCCGGTGGCATACAGGGAGGTATTTCAAACGGAGCATCAATATACTTCCGCGTGGCATTCAAGCCACCCGCCACAATTGGCCAGGCTCAAACGACGACCAAGTATGATTTCGAAGAGGGTGTTCTTGAAGCTAAAGGCCGCCATGACCCTTGTGTCGTCCCCCGAGCAGTCCCTATCGTGGAAGCTATGTCTGCTTTGGTTATTATCGATGCGCTAATGGCTCAAAACGCCCGGGAAGCAGCTAAAAATCTGCTGCCACCCCTTCCTCAAACCATGCCTACCCATCCCACTAGTCAAAGATAATTTATTTCCGCATGTAATCTGTTCTTGGTATTTATGTTAGCGCAATTGGAAAAAAAGAGACAAAATTTTTCTTAAATTATCTTTACATGAGCATGAGCCGGGCGAACTTAGACAATCATATTCCATAGAACTTGAAAATGTTAGCCATATCTGTCCGCAAAGGCGGTCTGCGTCACCAGTTTATATGTTTTTTTCGGGTTCATCATGGAGAACCATGTGTCAAATTATTATATATATATATATATACTTTCGCCTTCTCCCAGAAGTTAGGGAGACCATCTCATATGCATTTCCGAGGCAAGGAAACTACTTCAAGATTGAGCATTATCCTTTTCCATCCTAATAGTATTCATTGAAACAGGAACAAGGTGAGGCTGTATGTCTCTATACTCTGATATTCATGAATAAATAACAGGAAAAAATACAGGATATACACATATATCAGGAAAAATTTGTGCAAAAAAGAAGCGGAAATGTTCACCCTATAACCCAACGGAATAATACCCCAGTAACCCGCAAAGAAAAGATAGGGGGAACAAAACAGAATGCAACGTAAAGCCAATGCAGAATATTTCAAACGCTAGCGTATTCTCGTCATCCGCTCTCGAAATGTGAGAGTTTGGACAAAGGGGGGAAGGGAGATCTGTGCTTCATGAGGATTTACAAAACAAAGTTATTTCTGCGGTATGGAAATCTCTTAACGTCTATAACGGTGAAGATAAAATGAAAAGAAAAAGAAAAAGAAAAAGAAAAAGAGGTAGAAAAAGAGGTAGAAAATGGTGAAAAGAAGAGGTTAGGAGGTCGGAGATTCATAAAAGCAGGTTTACCACCAAAGCAACAGGGCACAAAACAGAGAGCTGCGCATATGCAAGATTATAAGACAAGAAAATAAACACTTCAAACCCGACGCGACCGCAATGCATACCTCGTCGCCCGCGGTTGCGCCCGCACTTGTGCCTGCACCCGCGCCTGCGTCTGCATTTGTTGTTGCTGCTCCTGCCACGGATCATCTTCCAAGGTCAGCCCACTAATCCCTGGACTAGGGATGCGGCGCCCGGGAGAAAGGGAGGGGAGAGATGCATATTTCTGTTGGGGGC